AATCATATAATTATAAAAGAGAGAGAGAATGTGCGTGAGTGGAGTGGACCAATTCAATAAGATGGTGGGAAAGACTTCTTGAGGATATGACCTGTGAGCTAAAACCCAAGAGATGAGAAGAAATCAGTCATATGAAAAACTGGGAGAAGCAGGTACAAAACCCCCCAGGGGAGAACAAGTTGGGAATGTTCTAGGCCTTGAAAAAGGCCCATGGGGAAAGGGATGAGTGGAAAATCAGAGAAATTGCCAAGGACCAGATCACATAAGGCCCATGATATGTATGGAGTTTGGGAAACCATTGTAGGGCCTGACATAATGTGCTTTACACTTTTGAAAGATCCTCCTGACCAATCGAGAAGGAGTAGATGGTAAGGGGCAAGTGTAGAAGTCATGTGGTGAACTGGAAAAGCACTGCCATGGTCCAGATGAGACATGAGGGTGGCTTGGAGCAGGGAGTGTAGGTTGGGGTATGCATCTGATTTATTAGCTCTGTGGAGGAAATCATCACCTAGCTATCATTTATTCAGTTCTCACTCATTCATCTCACCACAGCCCCAGGACTTAGGTCCCGTTATTAACCCCACTGGGGTTTAGGAAAGGCTGAGTAACTTACCCAAGGCCAGCTCTCTGCCTCCAGAGCCAACATCCTTAACCACTTTCCGACACTGCTGCTCAGTAAACATTAGCTCTGCTGAGGGGAGTGGTAGCACATGAGCCAGAGTGAGCAGAGAGGAGTCTGCACCCCACATACACCCCTGCACTCAACTATGAAACGCCTTCTGTCATCATTACTACATCCATGTCCACTCCTGATGGCATCTGCAGTTGAGCTATATCTACCTGCGTCAAGGTTGGGCTTCCCCGATTTGACAAAGGAAGATTTGGAAGGTACCACTGAGGCAGCCACATTGTAGAGTCAGAACAGCACTAAGCTGGATCCTGTGCCCATGCTGTGTCTAACTCAAAGTGAAATGTCACGTTACTTCCCATGGCTTCAGTTTCTCATGTTTACAAGTTGAGGCTCGGGCTAGGTGCCTCCCAGCTTGCATACCCCCCGAATTCTATGCTGATCCTTTCATTGTGTCACAGCCTGCCATCTGCTGTTCTGGGGAGGCCATCTACCCTTCACTGATATTTGAAGCTCATCGAGTATTCTGCCCATTATTGAAATTTAATTCATTTCCATTTGCTGAAATTGTTGTCTTGCATTTATCTTCTTTTTCACCTGGATGCAGGAAGTGGTCACTGCAGTTGACCGTTTAAAGCCAGTTATGACCCCCTTAAAAGAGAACAGCAAGGGGACAGCATGATAGCTAGAAAAAGCTGGAAACAAAGACCAGCAAGTGAGGGGAAAAGTGGGTGCCGGTTGCTACTATGCCAGGGTAAGGATACTACAGTGCAAGAGGCAGGGTGGCATAGAGAGGCCATAGGCTACAGCAACTCAGTCTCTTCCCAGCACTGTTTCACCCCCATTCTGCCTCCAGCAAGTCACCCAATATAGAGAAACTGCAGTTGAGTAAGAAGTAGGAATATTATTTATTCGCCTCCGTGACCTTTGGACTTGCACATGCAAAGTAACGGCTCCTGTGTGTGCTTGGTAGTTCCAAGGATCGTTTTTTTCTCCTTGAATACCTGAGAGTATTCACTATTGCACAAGATATTTCACTCGAGAATCTTTGTGTTCTGACTTTTCCTCACTTGATGTGGAATGTTCTTCTGTAGCCAGAAAGCTCATTTCAATGTTTTCCCAAGTGACTTCTCAGAATGTTAAACTTGTGAAATATACCATGAAAGAATAAATCAATGAGATGAATTCTGAGGTCAAAACGTTTGTGGGGAGGAGCGGAGTCTTTCCCCCTTAGGAGATTCACAAGACACATGAAACTGTTTATCTTGATTTACCTCAGACTTTCCCAACAGTGTTTGGTCACCCCCACTCTTTCCCCACACTTGTTAATGTTTTGCAGAGCACGGAGGTTCTGAGGAACAGACTGAGCAATCCTGCTTTGTGACGAGGCTTTTAGTGACCACCAAGCTAATGGAATCATCCTTAGCTTGATACCTAGTATAAGACTAAAGGTTTTATGAGACTCAGTGAAATAAGTGTCTTTGCTTTTAACAAAGATAAGTTGCATGAAATATATTACAGAATAAAATTTGAAACTCACTCTGAAAGTGAATCTAGACTAGAATATGATTAAGAAAAAAAATCTCATTTGTAGACCACCCCCTCCAATCTAGTATCTGCTTAGCTCTGAGGATGCTCCCATTTCAGAACAGTCAGAAATCTCACTTCCTCTTTGCAGACTAGAACAGGGATTCTGAGCAGGAACCCCATAGTTTAGGAGGGTACTCTCACTGGCCCTCCCTTGCACGTTAGCTTTGTCACATGACTCCCTCTTTATTGGTATATCTGGTACTGAATGATTTACTTGGGCAGTCTGTATGGTCCACTCAGCCCATTCATTGGGTCTTGTCCAAGGTTGTGGCTATTAGTGTTATCACTGCTGATAATGTCATAACAAGGAAGAGCCGTGGGGTAAATCTGTGGATTTATGCACACATGGTCAAAAAAGACCATTTTCCTACACACACACACACACGCGCGCGCACACACACACAAACACACACACACGGGAGGATCATTTGGTTATCACAACAAAAGGGCAGAATCAGTGTCAGCCTAGTCCTTCCCTTTTGGTTTTCTAGTATCCCAGACTTCATAGATTAAACAGATTTAAATTCTCCATCTTCTGCCTCATGCTTGAACATTGACTTCACCCTTTTCCAATGGAACATACTCTATACTTGAATATGGGCCTAGTAAGTGGTATTGACCATATCTGTTAAAGATGGGCAATCTGCCAGGTACAGCTGTACAGATCTGTGCTGCACAAATTCAGATGTGTAAATCAGTGGTTCTCAAACTGGGTGGTTTCTCCCCCTCACCAGGGACATTTGGCAATATCTGGAGACAGTATTTTCTTTTGTTTTTTTTAAATATTTTATTGGGGAATCAGGGAAAGGGAACAGACAAGTTGCTGTCCGTTTTGTTCTTCAGTTTAGTTGTGGAGGACGTTGCTTTACTGGCCCAAGTTGGCACCATCATTGCGCTCTTCCCGGGCGAGGCAGATCAGTCGCCGGCTTCTGGACGGCTGCTCATGGTGGTTGCTGGCTACACACGGTAGCCCATGGCAACCCACTGCAGCAAGGGCTGCAGCCTACGCCATCACCGGCGACTCACGGCAGTTGAGCTGTTGTTCAGCATCTTAGCTGTACAGGGCAGTGTCACTGGCCCTCATATGTGGGATCCGAACCGGGGCCCTCTGGTGTCCCAAGCCAGCTCTTAACCAACGCGCCACTCGGCTGGCCCTGGAGACAGTTTTGATTGTAAGAACTGAGTATGGAGGAGATCCTACTAACATCTAGTGGGTAGAGGCCAGAAATGTCTCTGAACATCCTATAATGCACAGGACAGGCCATGGATGTCTCTGAACATCCCACAATGCACAACAGAGAATTGTCCAGTCCAAATGTCAATAGTGGTGAGGTTGAGAAACCCTGGTGTTGATCAACATGCAAATTCTTGTAAAGAATTATGAGAGCCTACATTCACTGAGGAAAAACCCCTAGACCTCCCTCTGGGTCACTCCCCTCTGATGTCTGGTTCACACAAAGCTTGCATTGTCATTTTGGAAGCATTTGGGGCAAGAATGTGTCTGTTTGGGGAGAATATGTTACCTAGGAGTTAGAAGAATAGACCAAGAGTGAGGAAGACATTTTCCCTAAGAATGTGACACTAACTAATTGAGCCAACCTCTGGTGTACTGTTGACACTCAACTGTTAATAAGACCCAGAAAAGTAAGGCAAGGCTGTCACTGAGAGATGTCATGAATAACACAGTATGAAAAAGCCATTTTAATCATTTTAGTGGGAGTCTTATCTGAGGTTGTATAGCTTAGTGGTTAAGAGCGTAGCTCTAAAGCTAGATTGCCTGCTTCAATTCCCAACTGCTATTTGCTAACTGTGTAATTTGGGGCAAGTTATTGAACATCTCTGTATCTCATTTTTTCCCTTCATTTGTGAGTTGGGGATGATATCATAATAGTAACACCTAAACAAATTAAAAAATATAAAGTATTTGGAACCTTGGCTGACTCAGGATAAGTACTGTATAAATGTTAGTATCATTATTATCTTTTTAAGTTAATGTGACTCATTTGAAAGATACACATTCATTCTTTTAGTCATCAAAGGTTTATTTAGCATATACTATGTCCCAGGCATTATTCTAACTTCTAGAGATACATTAGTGAATTGAAAACATCAGATAAAATTTGCTACCCTCATAGAGTTTACCTTTTAGTGGAATATACTGTATAGTAATAATGCAAGTAGAAAGAAAAAATATGCAAAATTATACTTAGCCTAGAACCTGTCCTGTAGTTGTTGGATGGATGGATATATTATTTATGTTGTTGTTGTTGTGTATTGTTATATAGCTAATTTGAATTGTCATCTTAGATAGGAAAAGGAAACTAAACCAATACAGAATGCCGTAGCATTTAGGAACTGAAACTACCACATAAAGATTAGAAAGGAAAAAAGCAAAAGAGAAATGAATGAGACCATTATCGATGACCATGAATTTTGTTTAAAATAAACTGAACCTTTTTTGCTTTTTTATCTATGTATCAGATACAATACGTTACCTCTAGGCAGATGTATATATTCTAAGACATTAAGACTCTCTCAACTGCAGCAGACACATCTTTATAGGTAACAAAACAATGAACAATATTGGTTATTATCAGAAAACTGCAGCTGAAGTGGAAGAATCGACACCATCTCGCTCACTCCTTCAAAAATAATTCACTTCTGAAAGAAAACCTCCTTTAGGAAAATCACCTTACAAGCGCAGGCTTCAGCAGTCACTGAAGAACTTGGTTAAAGTAAGCTCTAGGCCTTATTCACTGGTTCTTCATCTTCTCTTTTCCAGAAACCTTCTCTATGTCTACCCACAGAGACTGAACTTCGCCAACAAACTGGCATCTGCTCGGAACATTACAATAAAAATCCAGTTTATGTGTGGAGAGGATGCTAGCAATGCTATGCCGGTAAAGCGGGGAATAAACATTGGCCTAAAACCAGGGTGGGCTGAGCTCCCCTTGTCCATTAACATGGATAAAATCCAGGGCTCATCCGCGGACAGAGTGTGTCTATCCAGGACAGCACTGCTCAGCATGTCCTTTGTGGCTAGTCCAAAATTGGCGCCAGCATACTAAGGACGACACAGGGCCAGTCTAAAGTGAAAGTCTCTTTCCTAACCTATTCCACAAGGAGCTGTGAAATTTGGAAATGCAGATTGTACTAGATGACTGAGAAATATCATAACGTTTTTCCACACCACCGTACCAGCAGAGAGAGACGGGCCCAGTGTGTCAGCCATGTTTGCTGTACTTCCAGATATGCACCACAGTACCCAAGCCCCAGTCCACATCTAGAGATAAATATAAAGTACAGTCTAGTAATAATAAGCACATATCATCTCAACACCTTTTGGGAATGGATCTACACCCTGAGGCAAAATATAAATCAAATAACAAATATATAATGCAGTGCTCTCTAAGGAACCCAAAATGCCAGAATTTGTGTTTTTTTCACCATCTGCCACTAAATGAGATGAGTAGTTAGCTATCACTATTTTCTGTTAGTCATAGAATTCAATTACTGTACCTTTCTGCTGAAAAATTTTTTCCAGTGCTTCCATTCTTCAAATATCTACTTTTTTTTTTTTTTAAACCATCCTTCTAATGTCTCACCTACCTTCCCAGTGCAAGGTATTCTCTTGTAGGTGTGGCGGGAAAGAAACCCTAGAGGTGGCTTCCCCTGGTTGTCTCTGCTCTGACCCCTGGCGAGTCCACCAGAGCTGCCAAGCACAGCTGTGCAGATCCTGAATGTAGCCCAGGTGCTCAGCCAGGGGCGAGTCGGAGCCAAACTCCAGCTTGTTCTCCCCTCACCAGGCCCTGGGACCCAGCATGGGGATTACTGCATCTAGGAAAAAGGGCCTTCTTTTCCTTTGCCCAAAGGTGAATCCATTTGTTGACTCATGTGCCTTGAGGGCTGAATGAGGCCTGAGGACATGTCTTCTTTTCAATAGCACACACATGTGGACAGGCGAGTGACGGTCCTGAGCACCCACGTGACCACGCCCATGTCTTTGCAGGGAAAATAAGCCAGGACCAGGGAGGGATCTGTCACTGCGGGCAACACGCTGTGACGTTGCCTACAGAATAGACCTCTGGGCAGTGAGGCAGAAGGGAGAAAGCGCTGGTTTTCCAGCACCACGACCCTCTGGCCCTCGGTCATTAATAAAGCCCCTTGGGATCTCAGTTTACCCTTCATAGCTAGTATATTGTGCACTTGAGCTGGTTTTAGAACTCAGCACTCTTAAGTTACAAAATACAGCTCTAGGAGACCAGAACATCATGTTAGGCTGATGGTAGTTGATTTGCTTTACCCAAATATCACTGTTAATTTGGTCCTTTCTATGTTGGTGAACAGGTCATCTTTGGAAAATCCAATGGGCCTGAATTTCTGCAGGAAGTATACACAGCCATTACATACCATAATAAGTAAGTATATTTCAGAGTTCTAAACATAGGCCAAGATTGCCTCAGTGTCTCCGGGTTTTCCTGAATCACCTAGGTGATTCCTCTCAACAGGTTTTATGATTTCAAGGACTAAGGGACAGAGGAAATTCATGCTAGTTCTATGATTCTTCTATGTTAGAGATGCACAGTTTTTGCCATTAACTGAGACTGGCAGAGGAACATATCTTTAAGAACCTAATACTGTTTTCACTTTTCTGGAGACTTCCAGTGTGATACAGAGAGGTTTTATGGTGTTCAATAAACAAATACATTTCCTCACTTGGCTTTGAGATGCTGGAGGGGGCCAGAAACAATATCCCATTCTCCTTTTCCTGCCTCTTTGTCTTCTACACACCATTCCACACCTGCACCACTACCTACTATAAGAAAATTTAATTTGACCAAAGGGGAAATGGAACACTCACTATTCTGTGGATCAGTGGAGTTGCAACATAATGTCTGAACTATGATTCACATTTCACAGGTAGCGGAAGGAAATCTGTACAGGGTCAGACAGACTTGGCTTTGCTCCTGGCCTGATAACCTTGACCCATTTAAGTCTTCCTCTGAACCTATGTTCCTGGGTTGGGCTGAGGAGTCAATGAGTGATGTACATGAAGCCCTTGGTAAAGTGCCTGGGACTTCCTAATTCAGTAAAATCAGGTGCCTTTTCCTTCCTGCATCATTTGTTTCTCCAAAATCCTTTGATGTGCCTCTCTGTTCTTTGGCTAGAGATAGAAAAGGAGGTCTCCGCAGGACTCTGACCTTTCTTCCTTTTCCCAGTTAAGTTGTTGGATTTTTCCACTGTGTGCAGAAATGCACTGCCCCCCCCACCCCCATAAAGCCTTTCGTTTGCGAGCGCTCTTATGTATGTGAAGTTATCTAGTGACATAAACTTGCTCTCAAGGACTTCCAGCATAGGAGCAGAATGATGTAAAAGAAAAAGCAAAACACGAAGCAGGCAAATTCTCAGGCGCAAAGGTCCATTGCATTACAATTTATAGTCAGAGGAGTCATCATTCTTGCTAAAAGTTTTTTGTGTATAATGTGCTTTTGAAACAGGTCTCCTGACTTCTATGAAGAAGTGAAAATTAAGCTCCCTGCTAAGCTCACAGTAAATCACCACCTCCTGTTCACCTTCTATCATATCAGCTGTCAGCAGAAGCAAGGGCCCTCCGCAGAAAGCTTCCTGGGATATTCAGTGAGTCGTCTTCAACTTGCCAATTCACACTGCCGTTCTCAGTGCATCCAAGGTCCCTGCAGAGATAAACAATGAAATTCTATTCACTTGCTTTTTTCCTGTCAGAAGTAACAGAATGTGCCAAACCAGATTATAGCAAAGAGCAGAGATGACTTGACATAGCAAGTGACAGATTTCAGAAATGGAAGACTAGTGGGTGATAGATATTGAAAGAATACTCCTTTATTTAAAAAAAAAAAGCATTGCAATATCCATTATTTTCAAATTTTGTATATGTGCTTCCCATATAAAACGCTCTTTTCTCTCCAAGGAGAAAAAAAGTTATTTTAAAACTATGAAAGTTAAACATTGATGTTGTTCAGACACACACAAACATTGGCTTTCAAGAAAAATGCTACTACTTTGGCTCTGAAAGCAGTAAATCATTGCTATTACCATCTCAGGAGCGCTTAGAGAATTTAACATGCAAAGAACTTGACAGAAATTACTGCCAAAAAGAGTCCTGGTCAATATCTAATCATCGTTTAGTTGCATTTGATTATTGTGAGCTAGTAGATAAATTGCCAGAATTATATGCTGTAATAAATACCACTTTATTCTTTCCGTCATCTGTTTCAGTGGCTGCCAATTCTCTTAAATGAGCGTCTTCAAACTGGATCCTACTGTCTCCCAGTTGCCTTGGAAAAGCTGCCACCCAACTACTCCATGCATTCTGCAGAGGTAACCAGCAAGCTGGCTGTCAGCTCTTTTTTGTTCAGCCATGGTCTTGGACCACCTTTCCAGATCCACTTCCCAGTCCCTTCAACATGGCCGAGGATACTCAGCATGTTTTTGGGAATAGTCATCTGTCAGCACATGGTGTTTTCTGAGAGCACATGGTTCTGATAGGATGGGAAAAATAACTGGCCATGAAACCTCATTCATTTAGATGTCACCAATTCAAAATATTTAGTAAATGCAACCTGTGCCCAAGGCAGCATGACCTTGCATTATCTACAATGAAGGGATTCATAGAATAATGTACTGTGAAAACGGAGGCAAGTAGAGCCCACTTGTGACAACAGCGGCTGTTAGCACGATCCTTATATAAGGTTCCCAGGCCAGATTCTATCAGTTTCTCTTCTGGGTCAATTGTTACAGTCCACAGGTGGACAGTTGGGCTTGCATTCCTCTAAATGTCCCAGTGCCAATACTCTTCCCTCTTGTTTCCTGCGCTGCCTCTTTTTTTTTTTTTTTAGTATTTTAAAAAATTTTTCAATTTCAGTTGACATACAATATTATATTAGTTTCAGGTGTACATCATAGTGATTAGACATTTATATAACTTGCTAAGTGATCACGCTGATAAATTAAGCACCCATCTAACAACCATACATAGTTAGTACAAATATTATTGACTATATTCCTTATGCTATACTTTACATTCCAATGACTGTTTTGTAACTACCAATTTTTACTTCTTAATCCCTTCCCCCTTTTCACCCATTCCTCCAATCCCCCCTCCCACCTGGCAACCCTCAAAATGTTCTCTGTATCTATGAATTTGTTTCTGCTTTGTTTGTCCGTTTATTTTGTTCTTTAGATCCCATATATAAGTGAAATCATATGGCATTTGTCTTCCTCTGTGTGAATTATTTCACTTAGCCATAATACCCTCTAGGTCCATCTATGTTGTTGAAGATGGCAAGATTTCATTCTTTTTTATGGCTGAATAATATTCCATTGTGTATATATGTGCCACCTCTTCTTTATCCCTTCATCCTTTGATGGACACCCAGGTTGCTTCCATATTTTGGCCATTGTAACTAGTGCTACAATGAACATATGGATGCACATGTCGCTTTGAAGTAGTGTTTTGGGTTTCTTCAGATAAATACCCAGAAGCAGGATTACTGAGTCTTCTTTTGTCTCTTGTTATATCCTTTGTTTTAAAGTCTGTTTTGTTTAGTATAAGTATTGCTGCTCCAGCTTTTTTTTTTTTTTCATTTTTATGAAATATATTTTTTCCATCCCTTTACTTTAGGTTTGTCTTTCTATCTGAAGTGAGTCTGTTGTAGGCAACATATGTAAGGGTCTTGTTTTCTTATCCATTCAGCCATACTATGTCTTTAGATTGGAGCATTTAATCCATTTTCATTTAAAGCAATTGTTGATAGGTATGTAGATATTGCCATTTTATTATTCATATTTTTTATCTTTTTTTCTTCTTTTTCTTAAAGAAGTCCCTTTAAGGTTTCTTGTAATACTGGCTTCGGGGTGATGATCTCCTCTAGCTTTTTCTTGTCTGGGAAGCTCTTTATCTGTCCTTCAATTCTATACGATAGCTTTTCTAGGTAGAATAATCTTGTTGTAGGTCCTTGCTTTTCATCACTTTGAATATTTCCTGCCACTCCCTTCTGACCTGCAAAGTTTCTGTTGAGAAATCACCTGACATTCTTATGGGAGCTCCCTTGTAGGTAACTAACTGCTTTTCTCTTGCAGCTTTTAAGGTTCTCTCTTTGTCTTTAACTTTTGTCATTTTAATTATGATGTATTTTGGGGCTAATCTTGTTTGGGGCTCTCTGTCCTTCCTGGGCTTATATGTCTTTCCTTCACCAGGTTGGGGAAGTTTTCTGTCATTATTTATTGAAATAGGTTTTCAATTCCTTGCTTTCTCTTCTCCTTCTGGTACCCTGTGATGCGAATGTTGGTATGCTTGATGTTGTCCCAGAGGCCCCTTAAACTGTTCTCATCATTTTGGATACTTTTTTCTTCATGTTGTTCTGATTGTTTTCTGCTACTTTATCTTCCAAATTGGAGACTTGAGTCTCTGCTTCATCTAATCTACTATTGACTCCTCTAATGTATTCTTCATTTCAGTTATTATATTTTTCATTTGTGACTGGCTCTTTTTTATGTTTTTCTATGTCCATTTTTATGTTTCCTATCCCTTTGTTGAAGTTCTGCATCGCTGAGCATACTTATCACCAGAGTTTTGAATTCTCCATCTGGAAGTTTGCCTGTCTCCATTTTGTTTAGTTCTTCTTCTGGAGCTTTGTTCTGTTTTTTTTATTTGGGACATGTTTCTTTGTCTCCCCATTTTGGCTGCCTCCTGTGTTTGTTTCTATATATTAGGTAGGGCTGCTATGTCTCCTGGTCTTAGTAGAGTGGCCTTATATAGTAAGTGTTCTGTGGGGCCCAGTGGTGCAGTCTCCTTGGTTACCTGAGCTGGGTGCTGCAGGTGTGTCCCTTGTGTGTGTCCTCCTGTTGTAGTGGAGCCTTGGTTGCTGTTTGCACATCAGAGGGCAAGAGTGACTCTTGGGCTGTCTTGAACTACCTCTTGCCCATCCACTTTGCTGTAATAAACCCCTTAAAAGAGAGCCCATGGACCCTCCATTCTGACTGCACCAGCATGAGCTCTCATCTTCTCAATCTGGTTGGTGTAGGTTTATACCAATAAGTATTATTTTGAGGCAAGTCCCGGATATCATATCATTTCGTTTATAAATATTGTACTATGTATCTTAAAAGATAAGGGCTCTTTTTCTAAACTATCACAATGCCATTGTTATACCTTAAAATTAATAATTCCTTAATATCTTCACATATCCAGTCAGTGACCAAATTTCCAATTATCTCATTAACGTCATATTTTTATTTACAGTTGCTTATTTGAATCAGTATCCAAATAAGTTCCATACATTGCTGTTAGTTGGCATGTCTTTTAAGACTATTTTAATCTATAGATTCCCCTTCATCTTTTTTCTTTTCCTTGCAATTTTCTTTCTTTTTTTTTTTTTTAAAGATTTTTATTGGGTAATTGGGGGGATGGGAACAGTGCTGGGGAATTGGGGGAAGGGGAACAGACAAGTTGCTGTCGTTTTGTTCTTCAGTCTAGATGTGGAGGACGTTGCTTCACTGGCCCAAGTTGGCACCATCATCGCGCTCTTCCCTGGCGAGGCAGATCAGTCGCCGGCTTCTGGACGGCCGCTCACTGCGGCTGCTGGCCGCTCACGCTGGCTGCTGGCTACACACGGTAGCCCATGGCAACCCACTGCCACAGGGACTGCAGCCTACGCCGTTGCCAGCGACTCAGGCAGCCCAGCTCCAGGTTGAGCTGTTGTTCAGCATCTTAGCTGTGGAGGGCAGTGTCACTGGCCCTCATATGTGGGATCCGAACCGGGGCCCTCTGGCATCCCAAGCGAGTTCTTAACCATCGCGCCACTCGGCCGGCCCTCCTTGCAATTTTCAAATTGAAGAATTCTCAGGAATTTGAATTTAGTACCAAGCTTTACCGTCAACTGTCTTACCTACTCTGACTACCCATTCCCCACCCCCAGGCTATTCTGTTTTTCTCTTATTTCCTTTTTTCTCTGGAGAGAGAAGCTTTCTTTGCCCTGGGCCACAGGCTTGTGCCTGGATTTAGACCAAAACTGCACTCCTCAGAACCACCTGAGACCAACTTGAGTATGTTCACAGACATTCCCTTGATTACTCTTTACGATTTGGACACACAGTCCCTTCTGATGTCCTCAAAACCATCTTTGCACCATCAAGCTGCACATTCTAATTTCCTAGAGCCCTCCTCTTAGCTCCTTAATGCTGTAGGCAAACCTGGGGTCTAGAGACAAATAAATCTTGATCCAAAATCCAGATTCTGCCACTTCCTAGCTGTATGAACATGGGTAAATTGCTTACCCTCCCTGCATCTCAAAGATGAAACCTAGCCCATACCTGTCTATGGCTGTCATTATATTTTTAGTGGACAGTGCTACTTTAGATCATAAGTGGCAAACTCCACTGTCCCCAGGAGTTGGACTCATTAATAGTGAGTGCCAGGTCCAGATGGAATTTTTTCACTCTGGAAATTGCCCATCGAAGGTCACAGCTGCTCCTTTGCTCCACAGATCCGTGCCATTCTGGGATGCAAGCCTAATGTCTTCACATCTTTCAGTTCTTAAAAGAATTAGAAAAACAGGCTTTCATGTGAAATTTTCTGACTTTTAAATGTTGGCAACTAATTCAAAAAAGTTTCCAACACTGGGCCAAACAGAACTCATCTATGGGCTGGATCCTGCTTTAGATCCCAATTTGTGACTCTGTCTTAGAGAGTTCCAGAGGCTCCCACCCCATGTATCCCTCTTACCCTTGCAAATGCAGCGTATTTCCTTCCATCAACATGAAAGAGACACAAAACCCGCACTCCGTGGCAGTGTCAGGCTAGGCGCTCCTCACCCAACGCTGTGTGAAGTCTCTAGAGAAAGACAATTCCTCGGGAATTTAAGGCAAGAAATGGTCTCTAAGGACTACAGAGCTATTGATAACATAAATGGTATAAAAGAGTAATTTTAAATAATTAAAGCAGGATTGCTACTTGGAAACATTAAAAGAGAAGGTAATTGCAGCTGCTCAAAAGCATTAAAATTTTATGTTGTATAAAGATACTCTTTGTCCTGACATTCCTGGTGAATGAGGAGATCACTGTCATATGACTTTATTTCAATTCCTGGAATCAAGAATTATTAATGCTGGTTAGAAGCTTAAAGACAGATCACTCAGTTCAAATCCTTCCTTTCAACATGAGAAAACGAAAGCCCAGAGAGCTTAACTGATTTGTCAAAGTAAAAATAACTAGTTCAGTGTAGAACTGAACTTGAACTCAGGGCTTCTAACTCCAAGGCCAGTTATATTAGTTTTCTGGGGGGTTTAATATTTGTATAACCCTGATACTTACAGTCAGGTTGCTTCGCTCTGCTTGTTAGTAATCAGAAAAAGGGATTGAATTGCTAATCTTTTTTTTTTTTCTTTAACACAGAAAGTCCCTGTACAGAATCCTCCCATTAAGTGGGCTGAAGGACATAAGGGAGTATTTAATATTGAACTACAAGCTGTTTCTTCTGTTCACACCCAGGTAAGGGCCATCAAGATCCACTTCACATCAGAGCCAGAGGACTGATAATGAGGATGGGGCTCAGCAGAGAACCCTCTAAGGACAGTCCAATAAAAGATCAATGAAATCTTTGTGCACGGCTAAAACAAAATAACCTTTGGTTCTTTATGGAGACTTATAAGCCTGTTCAGGTTTTATTTGTCATTTAAATGGAAAGACCTTATAAAAAGGTTGAACACCTAAATGAAGGAACCCAGTACCTGCACTGTTGGCTGAGAAATTGTGGGGAACCTTCATTTGAAGCCTCTATCCCATTTCCCCCGTAATTCTATCTCATTCTATCTCATTTCCCATTGTGTCTCATTTTCCCTCTATAATCCTGCCATTTCACCAGCCTTTCTTATTTTCACTTCTATATTCCCTCCTTTTCCTGCCACTGTCTGAGTTTTGCATCTGCGTAGACCCCTTTTGGGGTTGTGTTTGCTTGCCCGGTGTGCTTGCCTCGGCTCCCAGAATATGTCAGAGTCTAAATTATTTTCTTCAGAAAAATTACTGGGATGTTCAGTTTGGTGCATACCACTCTAGAAAGCAGCCAGTAACCTTGTTGTAAAGCATCTGTGTCTTAAAACTTCTGGTCTGAAACATTGGCTAAGAGGGTCTGCCTATAAGGAGCTATTTGATTGTGTTTATGAAGCCACTGGTGAACACTGATGCGGTAAGACCCATGAAGCCTGCTGTCTGCCTTCCCAGGACAACCACCTGGAGAAGTTCTTCACCCTCTGCCACTCCCTGGAGAGCCAGGTGACCTTCCCCATCCGTGTGCTGGACCAGAAGATCACGGAGACGGCGCTGGAGCACGAGCTGAAGCTCAGCATCATCTGCCTCAACTCCTCCCGCCTGGAGCCCCTCGTGCTCTTCCTGCACCTGGTGCTGGACAAGCTCTTCCAGCTGTCCGTGCAGCCCATGGTCATTGCCGGCCAAACAGGTAGGAGGCCTGTGGGGCTGGGAGGAGGCGGAGGGGGCAGGCCATTCCTTGTGTTAGGAAACATGATTTTCCAGGAATCCTGGGAGCAGGGACAGTGTGATCTTCCTTTCTGTTCAGGATGGGAGTCCAAAGGAGGCCAAATCCAGTGCTATTTTTCTGAGACTTCCTGGATATTAATACACACACACACACACACACACACACACACACACACACATACACAGACACACACACATTAATACTTTGGATTGAGAGCATAATTCGTTCCGGAAACAAACTACTCGTATTGCAAGACATTGCTTGTTTACTAAGTTAAATGTATTAGAAATGTTTGCTTGTCTTGCGGAATACTCGCAAACCAAGTTACTTGCAACCCAACGTTTTACTGTATATATATATACACACACTCACACACACACACACACACACAATAGAATGCTTAAAATTATAGTTTTTATAATAAATTTATTGAATAATTAGAGGCAACCTTTCAAATTCCATTTCTGGTAATTGATGGGTTTCTTTTACTTCTAAGATATTTTTGTTTTCTTGACCATCAAGGAAATATAATGTTTTAAAGAATAGGACAACTCATCTTAAATAGAAGGAAAGGAACTCTCTAAATTGAAATGCAATGTGATCAGTTTTTTACATTGAGGTATAATACATATGCCATAAAGTTCACGGAAGTGTATAATTCAGTGGTTTTAATATGTTGACAAGGTTGTGCAACTATCACTACTATCTAATCCTAGAACATTCTCATCGAAACCCCATACTTCTTAGCAGTTACTCCCCATTCACCCCTCCCCTCAGCCCCTGACAACCAGTCATCTATTTTTCTGTCTTAGAGTATATTTTAATGCTTGCTTTTTAACAAAGTAATGCTAAATACAATGTGTGAAACTTCCTTTGGAAATAATGTCATGTAAGACGTAAGTCGCGTGGTTCTCCCGACTCCTGCAGGGGCAGACAGGCTGCTGTAGGGCATTTTGTTGGACATTCTTTCCAGCTGGGCTTATGTTATCCTGTGCCAGTGAGTCCAGCAGATGTCCCTTGGGTGCCATCTATGCTCCCAACACTGTGCTAACAGTTGTATGGTTTGCAATAATAATCTAGAGCATATCTGACCTCAGAGGACTTACAATAACGCGACGAGCAGCAACGCAGGACAAGAGTCCTCAAAAGGACATAGCTAAATATTGGGGCGGGGGACATGCAAACATTCACCCGGGAGAATGAAGGAGGCCCCTAGGAAGAAGACGGTGTTTGAGATGGCCTTGAAGGAGGGGTAGAGGGAAAGCAGCTGAAATGTGGACAGTTAAATGAGCATGGCAAAGTGAGAAACAGAAAAGAATGGGAGTGCCAGGAAAGAAGTAAATGGCAGAGTTGGGCTATGGAGTATGAGTAACCTGATGGGGGGGAGGGGGCTGCTCGCTGAGCTCATTGGATTTCAGAGCCAGGGAAGAGCATGTCTTCTTAATCTCTTGATTTGCACCATATCCTAGGATGCATCTTTTGTGGTTCCACAGATAAGACATCCTGCGTTGTAGGCTAACATCTCATATGTGTAACTGTCACCTCTCTAGCTAGATTCCTGCAAAGCGGTGGCCACTATTCTCCGGAAATTTCTTTCTCTGCCTCCCACATGTGTGTCATGCTGCGTTGTATGTTTCAGCTATGTAGTACGGACTTCTGTACTAGACAAAATGCTGATTCACACATTTTGAGCCTCTTCTCCATAGCAAGTTGCCACCTTGTCGTGGGGGCGACAGGGTGTTGGGACAGGCAGAATAAGCAGAGGCATTTAGAGTAGAAGCATTTATTCAGACCTGTCTGTGTCAGGCACTATGGAAGGCACAGTAGGGGGACAAGAAAGTATGAGAAATGCACTTTGTCCCAGAAGGGCTTTCAGCCTGCTCAGAGAAACAGGATTTACCACCAGAAACAGCCAGAAAACCTTGTGATTTGGTGTCGCTTAAGGCCTGTACTGAGTGGGGTCAGAGGCTTTGTGGAGGAGATGGGATTGCGTCAACCACTGAAGTGTTGGTGTGATTTTATGGATGGCAGCAAGGACTGCTTTCTAGGTGAGGACAACGGCATGAGCAAAATCACAGATGAGAAACAGCAGACACGTGTTGGGGACAATATGATCCGTGCCTCATTTTAAGGGCAGATGAATTTGAGCAGAAAAGGGTCCAAGGTTGGATAAATAGGGTGGAGCCAAACTGTGGCGTGCTGACGCTCTAGAAGAAGAGAGTGTGGATGGTAAATCCATCCTTTGTAAAGGTCCACTGTTTGAAATGACATAATCCACATATGTTTTTAGATCCATCAGTCCACGAAGAATCTGTGTTGTGCAACAGTGCATGTCAAACCACAGTGGGCATAGAACAGAATCACCTGGGCATCTTGTTAAAGTGCAGATTCTGACTCAGGGGGCCTGGGGAGGGGCCTGAGACTCTTCACTGACAACGTCCGTGCAGACCTCACTGAGTAGCCTCCGTTCACAACATGGTTTAGACAGGAGAGGATGTCTCGATAGCCTCTTTGTCATGAAAAACCAGTTCTGGAAGGAAGAGGAAGATGAGGAAGGCCGTGTGAAGCGATAGGCAATCAGCAGCGCCAGCATGCTGGAGCTTTTCAAAAACACGCATCCCGCCCCAGGCCATCCTCTTGACCAGCCTAGTTCCTTTGGTCAGCGGTCAGGACCCCTTGTCCCTCACTGCCCCAGGGAACGTTCTACCTCGGTTCATTAGGGGCTAACTGTGAAGCTGCCCGTTTTTATCTTGGTTCCTCAGCCAACTTCTCGCAGTTTGCCTTCGAGTCCGTGGTGGCCATCGCCAACAGCCTGCACAACAGCAAGGACCTGGGCAAGGACCAGCACGGGAGGAACTGCCTGCTGGCCTCCTACGTGCACTACGTCTTCCGCCTGCCTGAGCTGCAGAGAGACCTGCCCAAGTCAGGTAGCGTGGCCTCCAGGGCGGGGGGCTGTCGGGCAGGGCATCTTGAGCCCCACCCCGCTGCCAAGGAATTCTAATTAAAATAAAAAGCCCAGAAGTTACATTTTACTTTTCAGGATAACACAAAACGAACATGAATGTTAAAATGAAAAGTTTATTTCTAGGTTTTCCTCTCTTGCTGTCTCCCGGCCTCCCTCCTTCTTCTTATACTCTAAGCATGTATTTTATCTGCCTGTTTGATAATCCCTCACTGGTCTTTACCCAGTAGGTAATTTCTGATTCGGTTAGGATCTCTTTTTCAAAAAATGTTTATTACAATATAGCTACCATGCAATATTTTATTAGTTTTAGGTGTACACCTAAACTAATAGTTATTCACCATTTATACACCTAAAGAAGTGATCACCATAAGTCGAGCAACCGTCTGACACCGTCCTATGCTATCACAATATTATTGACTATATTCCCTATGCTGTACATTACATCCCCATGACTTACTTGTTTTATACCTGGAAATTTGAACCTCTTATTCCTCTTCGCCTTTCCCTTCCTTTTTCAATTTTTCAATTACAGTTGACATTCAACATTATATCAATTTCAGGTGTTCAGCGTAGTAGTCAGGTATTTGTATAATTTAAGAAATTATCCCCCTGACTAGTCAAGTACCCATCCGGCACTATACATAATTATTACCATATTATTTACTATGTTCCCTATACTTTATTTTACATCCCCATGACTAATTTGTAACTACCAATTTGTGCTTCTTAATAGGATCTCTTTTCTAAAATATGGAGAAATGACAACAGATGCCTAAGATTCTAGGATAACAATAAGAAAAATTGTGTATACACACACACACACACACACACACACATATATACATATATATATTCAATAGTAGGGATAAGCAGTGGCTCCTAAACTTTTCATTATGAAAAAATAAATCCCTTTTCTCATTTCCCTCAAACTAAACCTTTGAAATAATAATAATCCATTTCTCCACTCTTAATTATTTACATAGGTAATAATCGAACAGAACGTATGGTCAACATGATATAAAAGGTAGCATCAACAAGTTCACAAAGTCCCAGGCCCTAATGAAGAAACTTGGCCTTTTTAGTAGTCCACGCAGCCTCATTTCAAGTAAACTGGCAATTTTTTTTTTGAGTTTTTAAAAATACTGGTAATATACCATAGACTCACATAATCACTTTTGAAGACATATGAATACTTAAAAGGTGAAAAACATCAATATATAGTATGTACTTATCCTCATAAGGTTCAGATGATTCCTTGGATTCTCAAATCTCAGAAAATCTTACTGTATCACTTATAAAGTTGTCATTATTTAAATGTTAATAAATAAAATATATCCACATTTCCAGCTGGTCTTGAGCAATCAGAAGCTCTGGCAGCCCTGGAGGCTATTTCCCCATGGCAGTCATAGGCTGGAGCTGAGTAGCAGCCCCTGCCTCTGGATGAGGCATGCGTTTCCAGTTTGCCACAGTCCTCACCACTCCCTACTGCCTTACATCCTATCTACTGCCCTCCAAAAACATTGCCTCCCTGGTCTCCCCTAGGCCTTTGGTAAGAAGACCCTAATTCCAAGACCTAATCTATTACCTAATGTATCTATCCTATCCCTCTTGAGTTCCTTCTCAAGCCCAGTAAGTAACACTGACCCCCTTTCTGTTGACATGTCTGGACCTGGTGGGGTACAGGCGGCCCCACTGCCATCCCTGACCCTCGCTACCACACATATGGACGCACATCTGCGGCTGCTGTGAGTTCAAAGCTGCTACAGGCCCGGGTGATGAGCAGCAGTAACCCAGACCTCGTGGGAACACACTCCGCGGCAGACGAGGAAGTTAAGAACATCATGTCTTCAAAGGTAGGGAAGATGACAAGCCCTGCAATGTGACACGGGCTTTTTTATTTTTAACTAACACTGGGAGAAACCATGCAAAATCAAACACTACTGCTGCCCACCATGTTGGTCAAATGCGTTAGTGCTTCACTTTAGGCTTATTAATGTTCTTTTCTTTTTTAAGTGATTAACACCACCCTGAAAGATGCAGAGGCAAGACTGGCATTTTTGAGGACCTTCTCAGAGTTAGTTAGCTGTGGTAGGGTGTTTATAGGGCATAGCTGGTGGAGCCACAGTGAGTCACTGAATATCATGAATTCTATTTCCAAGGAAAAAATTTAACTTTAACTTTTTTTGATGCCTAGAAAGGTGGTTTTTTGTTTTGTTTTGTTTTTTCATGTCTGCCTTTTTCACTCATTAACATCCATAGATTGATTATCCCATATAATAATCCCAAAGAGCAATGCCAAATTTTACAAACAAATAAAAACTGAGATCCTGAACGAGTCGGTGACTTGCCCTATATTATTTTTTCTGCCGTGAATTATTTGCTTTTTCTTGATAAACTTTTATAACAGTTTTAGATTTATAGAATTATTGTGAATATGGTACAGAAAGTTTTTCTATACCACACACCCAGTTTCCCTGTTATTAACACTTTACATTATAATAGTACATTTGCCACAGTTAATGAACCAATGTTGATGTTATTATTATTATTATTAAGTTCATATTTATTCATGTTTTCTCAGTTTTCCCCTAAATTCCATTTTCTGTCCCAGAATACCATATAGTTTGTAGTCAAGTTTCCTTAGGCTCCTCTTGTTTGTGACAGTTTCTTAGACTTCCCTTGTTTTTGATGTCCTTGACAATTTTGAGGCATACTGGTCAGGTATTTTGTAGAATGTCTCCCGTTTGAAATTTTTAGAAATTATGATGTAATTCACATACTATAAAACTCACCGCTTTTAAAGTGTGTAATTCAATGTTTTGTTTTTTCACAAAGCTACCATGAATTCTTAGTCTGAATTTTCTTTCTAGCTATCTGTGGCCTCAAAGTGGCTAAGCTTTTAGAACAATATCATTTTCCCTGATTTAGATAAATCAGACTCTGTGGGTTCTGACAGCTTCCCATACAAAATCCACCCACTTGAGACAGTCTGTTGTAAGAAAGGGAACCTGCACACCAGGGTTGGGTCGGCTCTGACAGCAGCCAGCCATGTGGTCATGAACAAGCCAGTTCCTGCCCTGGGCCTGTCCTCATCCCCACTGAGGTTCTGAACCCTGGCTGAACTCAACAGTCATCTGTGCATCTTTTTAAAGCACTGGATCCACCCGCAAGCCCCAGAGATTCTGATGTATAGTTTGCACCATAGGAAATTGTTGATATTCTGCCCTTTCTGACACACAAAATAAACCCAGGGAGGCGCTGGAGATGGCTCGTGCCAGTTTCTAAGAGCTGATTGTTAAATCAGCAGAATTTTTTGAACCAGTTGTTCGACACAGACATTATTTAACAATAAATTATATAAACTAACAATTAAACAGGTTATAGCACAAACTAAGGTAACCTAAATGCAATGGGATACCCTGAATTGTATCTTGGAACAGAAACAGGACATGTGTAGAAAAGCTGGTGAAATCTGATTAAAGTCTGTGGTTTAGTTGATAGTAAGATGCCAATGTTAATTTCTGAGTTTGTACAAATGTACCATAGTTGTGTAAGATATTAACACTAAGAGAAGCTGGACAGAGGCTGTACTGGAACTCTCCGTACCACCTTTGCATTTATCCATAAATCTAAAATTATTCCACTTTGAAAAGGCAGTACTCAAACTTATCCTTTCCTAATGATTCTGCAATATTTTACTACTATCTGTGTTCTTGAGGTATTTTTGCCTATTGTGTCTGTCTGGTGGAAATACTAGATAACGATTTGCTACTGTACATCTCTTCTCAGCGTTATGTTCAGTGATGTCACGTTAACTTGACATCAGCCACGATGGAAGCATGTACAGCACAGAAATTGGCCAACGCTGCAAGTCAGCCCCTCCCCACCGAGCTGGTAAACATTTGCCAGCACACCGTGGTTCAGTCTCATATTTAAGATCCCTTTAAGCAATACCATTTGCTGATTCATCGTCCAAGGGAGAAGCTGTCTGCAGTTATCATTGATAGCCTTGATTGTAATGGTTTTCTTTCATTAAAGTGAAAATATTAAATTTCTATGTAGACTGGGTTAAGAATTTCCTAATGGTTTTGTAGTGAGGGGAGGAAATTTGGTCCAAAGTGGTTTTTGACAATTTCTTAAATGCAGTGTTTCGGAGGCTAGGTACAGTACTGTACTAACCCACAGAGAGGCACTGTTCCCACACACTTTTTCTCTGCTCTCTCAATAGAGTCAGATTCAGAATGCTGACGGGACTGTTTAGCATCCCATGGCACTCACCTAGGTTTCAACTATAGGTTACTACACATCAAACTGTTGGCAGTGGTTATCTCAGGAGCAAGTAGCATTAGGTGTCATTTGACTTTCTCTGCTTTATTTTATATTTATTTATTTATGACAATTGTTTTACCTTTGTAACCAGAAAAAAAAGTAGGACGCGTATTCAAAATGAATTTTGAGGTTGTGATTTCCAGGCCGCCGTTTCACCTCTCCTGTTAACCACTGTCAGTTGACCGTTGAGTCATGGTTTGTGTGTTTCAGGTTACTGATCGCAACTGCAACCGGATGTCTTACTATTGCTCTGGCAATAATGATGTTCCGAATGCGGCCGGAGCCCCACGGCCAGTCAGCAAAAAGGTACTGAGCAGTGAGGATAATTGGCCCGTGTATAGTTCCTGCCCTTCTTGTGTGCGCGCAAAACACACACACACACACACACACACACACACACACACACACACGAGTCTCTTATTCCCCCATATTTTGACCACGTAATTACCTATTAACTCAGTGGTTCTCCAAATTACCATGCATCAGAAATACCTGGGTGGCTTGTTAAAACTGATTGGTGGACCCCACCCCCAGAGTTTCTGAGTCAATAGATCTGAAGTGGGGCCCAAGAATTTGCGTTTCTGACAAGCCCCCAGGTGATGCTGGTTCAGGAACCACACTTTGAGAATCACTGCATTCGTTTCTTTTTTAGTAGAAGGTGAGCTGGGGACAAGTCATCCTCAACAAATGTGCGTGGCAATAAATAGGTATCATTTATTCCAATACTGTGTATATCGAAGGAATACGGATGCTTTCTCGTAATTCTTTCTAATCCGACTTCCCAATGAGTTCAGAGACTTTACAAACGGTCAAACTGCTCACCAGAACTCCTTATGTTAACAAAATTCTCCAATAATAGTCATGGCCTGTGTGGTTTAAGGGATGGGGGTGGGAGGGAAGCTGTCTGTCCCAAGTTTTCTCCTCTGCCAGACCCCCGAGGGTCTCACCATTTAGCAGCTACTTAAGTTAAGGTCTTGCATGTCTTTCAAGATTCCTATTAAAATGGAAGGCATTTGCAACAGCTGATACTATAGGGAAATGTGTATTAAACAGGCAAGGAAGGAATGAATGTCATTATAGCTCACTTTGGACTGGGTGAGGGAAAGATCAACTGAGGGGAGGCCCTTCCAGGGCTGCAGACTGCAGGAATTCAGGCATCAAAAATCTGGGGAGAAGAACCAGGAGTTAACTGTAAAAGAAGGGAAAGGAGATACAGCTAGGTACTGAAAATAATTCTCACTTATTCTAAAACTTAGCTTTGGGCTTTGCAGTGACTGATGACAAGTACCACTTCCCTTTTTATTTTATTATTATTATTATTATTTTTAGAAATTTTATTGGGGAACAGTGTGTTTTTCCAGGACCCATCAGCTCTAAGTCACATGTTGTCTTCAATCTATTGTAGTTGTGAAGGGCACAGCCCCTTGGCCCATGTGGGAGTCGAACCGGCAAGCTTGGTGTTATGAGCCTGCGCTCTAACTGGCTTCCCTTTTTAAAACCATGATTTGCCTACAGCCTGACTACCTTCACACACAGCCTGATTTCTTCCAGACCCAGTCATGTTTGGTTTCACAATTGCTTTGTTTTAACTTGTTTTCTTGTCATTTCAAGGACCAGAAGAGAGTCATTTCATTTTAGAGAGATGGTTAGGCAGTGTGTTTTCGTCCTTGCAGAGCAAACAAGTTTTAGCTGCTTGGCTATTTTCTATAACCTCCAGAGCAAGGTGTTCTTGTAATAATGTTGCCCAGTAAGCAGCATACATTCCTTTAAGAAGCAGTTTATCCTTCTCTAATCTCTTCTTGCCATAAGCTGACCTACTTTCCAGAGGTTACTCTTGAAGCTGGTGGAGCGTGTCTTTCCCACAGGGGGATGATCTGTGTGCAGCCAAGTTACATCATGTGCACGCCTGTTAGGTTCACACTCAGCCTCGTGCCTCTCCCAGGTGGGAGAGCTTCACTTCAGACTCCCCACAGCAAATAAATGTGTTAACAAGTATTACGATTTTAAAGGCTTGACTCACCTGGCAGAGTGAAGTACAATCCACTGATAAGCTCCAGCTTTCTCCATTCATCACCAGTACCCAGTGGAGATGTAAATAGTTAGAATCCCCAGACATCTTCCCATAGATTTTCCATTTGTCTCCTTGTAGTGTAGCTGAGTGACCTCTCAAATTTTAATGAACATAAGAATTAGTAAGTTGGGTTGTATGCATACTGTGCATTATGGATAATTTAAAGGTTGGTCAGGGCAATCTTTGCTATAATCAAATTTTTGCTTTAGGTGTTGAATTTAGAACTCATCTGCTACATAAGCCAGAACCCAAGGGTGTGGTATTAGGGTGTTCAAAGAGTTTTAGCTTTCTGACCAACAGATTTTAAGGATGAGAAAACTGAGGGCAAAGAGAAGAATGGGTTGCACAGGGTCCCACAGGGGCTTTGACTCAGGACCTGAGAGGAAACACACACACTGCTGCCCCCGAATGCAGACTCACGCCCATGCTGAGCCGTTCCGTCAAACCCGGCCCTCCTCCTGTACGATACCACCACCAACCTTCTCCTACCTACCTGAACCGTCCTCAGTCTCAGATTATTTCAGCATTGACTTTGCCATCCACCTGTGGCCTAGCACATCTCGGACGCATGTGTCAGCAACGAATAAGCTATGACAAGTAGCAAAAAAAGAAAAGAGTTGTTGGTCTATAAAGCATGTGTCCTCACAGACTGCCACTACATGAACGTAATGTTTTTTTTGTGTCTGTCGTCTAGCATTTCCATGAGGAGCTTGCCCTGCAGATGGTGGTCAGCACCGGAATGGTGAGAGAAACCGTCTTCAAGTACGCCTGGTTCTTCTTTGAGCTTCTGGTGAGATTCTTGCATGCTTACATCTCGGCTCAATAGGGTATGAAAAGCACCTTGCAGAAAGGCAGTGAAGTGGACCATGTTAGAAAGTGACGTTGTATCCGCTGAGTTGCTCCCACTGAAAACCAGGGATCATTTCTTAAAATCTAATTCTCCCTCACCCTTCCACCACCCATCTTCCACCAAATCTTGTTGAGTCTGCCTTGAAAATCTACCTCCAGCCTGTCACTTTTCACCATCTTCACCACCAGCCACCTGGTCCAGCCACCACCGTCTTTCAGGTGCCTCTTGCAAGAACTTCCTCTTTTACCTGCCTGCATTCGTTTTTGCCCTAGCCTATCCATTCTGCACAGGGCTCCCAGTGTTAAACAGATAATGTCACTGTCCTCTTTAAAACCCTGCAGTGATTTTTTTTTAGACTGCTGGAGATAAAGCACACATTTTTGTCTTGGCCTCCAAAGCCCCGGTGTAATTCTGTTTATCTCCATCTCTAACCTTGTCTCATACCATAACCCCCACATCCCCATTCAGCACATGGTTCCCCTTTTGGTTCTTTGAAGATGCCAAGGCCTGCTCAGCCTCCAAGACTTTTTCAGATTCTCTCTCCCCGCCCGACCTTTCATCCCGATCCCATGCACATATTTTTCAGGGTCTTCTCTTGAGGTTTCAATTGAAATGTCACCACCTTCAAGAGGCCTTGTCTGACCACCTTATACTGTAACATGTCTTCTACTCTATTATTCTCTTTTTAAACACCCTGCTTATTTCCCTCCTAGAACTTACCACAATTTATTAATTGCTTTTCTGTCTTTCCTATTAGATTTCCAGGATTTAGGTATATCTTCTTCATTGTCCTATCACTAGCCCTAGCACATGGCTTGGTATCATAAAAGCACCAACTAGTGTTTTTTTTGGGAGAAACTTGTAAATCTGTTTACCTTACAACTCCTATCAGCTCTCTAGCAAAAAAGCAAAAGTACAGCCATTTTCCTTAAATTTACAACAGAAAAACAGCAGTTCCTATACTTTGTTTAATTATTACTAGACATGAAAAGATAAACCCAATAAGAATAACTATTTTATCAATGTTGATAACTGGAGATGCATTGTGATACAATGTTAAGTGAGAAAGGTATAAAAGTACAAACAACTACATAAAAATGTACATACAGTCAGGAGAATTAGGACTAGAAGTGGGTTGAGATATAGTGATAGAGTTTGCTTTCTATTTACTGGGTTCTGTCCCCGGTGAGAGTCAGTGGATAATTTTTTGGCTTAAAGAGACAGATGGTAGGATTTTCTCCTGAGCTCTAGTTTATCTAGTTTATCGGGTGTACATTCAAACCTAAGAAAAAGAGAACAATACCGAACAATAGGCCATAGAGAACAAGGGGGTCAAAGGAAACAAAAAGAAAACACACTCTAGGAGGAATGTGGGAAGTGATATGTGATATCATTACGAAGAAGTCAGGCCCACGCCACAGACACACATCTAGGATTCACATCCCTTCGATTTTCACCAAGCTCCAACCCCTCGCTTAAGAAAGTTTTACTAGAGAGGTGTCTTTTCAAAGTAGTCTCAAATCTCTGCAACAGAATCACCTGGTGGCGCTTCGCAAAAATAAAGCAGGTTCTTGAGACCCCCCCACCCCCCAGAACTACTGAATGCAATGAGGAGGGGAGAGAGAAACCAGCCATGCACATTAACCTGTCTTCCCAAAGGCTTGAAAAGAAAGACAGCCTCCTCGGGCTTAGCCAACAACCTGGGCAGTTGAACACTTTTCAGCTGTGTTAATGCCAGAGCAATAACGAACAACCACTTTGGCATTACAACTGTTGAACAGTTCTTGGGTAAATTTCATACTTGCTGATGAATAAATCCCTGTGCTTCTAGAAACTGCTGAGCTAGACTGTGAGGATCCAGAGGTACCTGGGTGACCTAATTTACTCACGAAATGAGGTTCTGTACCAAGGGGTTCTTTAGGGGTGCCCCTGCTTTGAGTGGGTCACAAAGGCCAATACGGGGGAAAATACTTTCCTGCCTTACCCCACCCTACAAAGAATAGTTTTACTTGGTGCTCCTTTCTGGAGATCCAAAGGACACTGGCTCACTAGGCTGGCAAGTTGCTAACAGTCTGGAAAGAGGCCACTAGTTGGAAGTACAGTATTGTGAGAATTATTTATGTGGTTGTAGGATGGCCAAACTTAGCAGGCAGGAGCTGAATACAACAGTGAGTTCTAAAAGCCTTGTGCTGGGGTAGGTTAGCCAGCAGAGAATCAGGATTAGGGTGGCCCCAAACAAAGAGGCTTTGTCTGCCTAGGTCCTTTGTTAGCATAATGAGAGACACTTTTGTCAGACAAAAATGGGGTCCAGTTCCCACTCCTCCTTCAGGTCCTCTCACCAAGTGTGTGAGACTCTATGGGGTACAGACACATCCGTGCGTCCTGAACCAAGAAGGACTCTATAGTGAAGAGAAACTATGATTCTTATAAAGGGCTTCAGGATTTTATGTTCTTAGTTCTTCCCCAAGCTGACCATAGCTTTATCTTAAAACATGAAACACATAAAGCCTATCTGTCTGTTTTTCTCTTCTTAATTTACCTGCTCTCTCCTCT